TCGGAGCCTGGCGCCTGCTTCGGATTCTGTGTCTCCCTCTCTGCTCCTCTCCCACTCACACTGTCTCTCTCTCTCTCCCTCTCTCAAAAATAAACATTTTTTCTTAATTTTTCTTAATGTTTATTTATTTTTGAGAGGGAAAGAGAGAGACTGAGTACAAGCAAAGGAGGGGCAGAGAGAGACGGAGATACAGAATCCGAAGTGGGCTCCAGGCTCTGAGGTGTCAGCACAGAGCCCGATGCAGGGCTCGAACTCACAAACCGTGAGATCATGACCTGAGCCGAAGTCGGATGCTCAACTGACTGAGCCACCCAAGTGCCCCTCAAAAATAAACATTTAAAAAAAAGAAAAAGGAAAAAAAAAGCCAATACAAATGCTACAACCTAAGAGGACAGCAAACTATGCTCACGTGCAAAAAGAAACAGGATGGAGGCCAAACCAAAACTCACACAGAACCTACAGGACACAAAAATAAATGCTCTTTTCAACTCATTTGCTTTTATTCTGTTCTTTTGGGATTACTGCAAAATCAATGAAGTACACTTTTAGAATTTTAAGTGGGTTGGTATGGTTTATTAATTACCAAATGCAGTATTTTGTTATAGAAAGGAAGCATTCAAAACAGTCGCAGTTTTTTTTCTTGCTTTCAAATCTAGAATTTTTAAGCCCAAATTAACATTTCCTTTTCCAGTTATTCAACTGACCTACAGAACACTGACGTTAAAAAAAAAAAAAAAAAGAAGTATACAAAGTTATCCCATTCCTGGGTATATACCCAAATGTCTATCCGTGGATAAATGGATAGACAAAATGTGATCTGTGCATATAAAAGGGTCTTATGCAGACTTAAAACGGAAGGAAATTCTGACACGTGCCACTACAGGGATGAGCCTTGAGGACGTTATGCGGAATGGAAACAAGCCAGTCACAAAAGGACAAATACCGTATGGCCCCACCTCTGTGAGGTTCCTAGAAGAGTCAGATTCACAGACACAGAAGGAAGAACGGTGTTGCCAGGGCCTGGGGGCAGGGGGCCGGGGAGTTACACTGCTGTACAAGCATATAGTGAATACATACTTTCCTTTTAAAATTCTCCCTCCCTCCGTCTTTTGTTTAATACATGGTAGAATGCAGATTATAAAGAAAGCAGTCTCTTTTTTATCATATGTGCACACACGCAGTGTTATTATGTGTGTAACACAGGAGAAGGCCCAAAGAAACTAAGCAGGACACACACAGTGGTAGCGGTTGAGGTTCTGGAAAACAGACCAGGGTTTGAATCCCCACTGAAAAGCTCTAAGACTTTGGACACAACTCCACCTCTCTCTGCTCAGTTTTCTGACCTGTAAAAGGGGGATACTACTACCTACTTCTTCGAGTTGATGATGGAGGTGCTGAGAGACTGAAAGCAGCACAGTGCCTGACAAAAGGATCGTGCACACGGCCTTCAACCTTGCTCCTGGAGCTGGCTTAGAACCAGGGCTTAGGGACAGTGGGGTAGAGGGTGTTCTTCAAGTTTTAGGTTTACCTCTGGCTTCATCCTTTAACCGCTGTACAGAGACTAACAAAGATTCCTTTTCATCAAGTTCACTTTCTAAAAATGCATTTCGTTCAATGGCCTGATTTAGCCTTTGTTCAAAGTCTTCCAGTGACACTATTGTTGCTCTAAAAAGAAGAAAAAAAAAATTGGGAGTCCATGAATTAAATAAATAGCGTGCAAACAGCTAATACAAAAGGAAACTGTCCGTTTAGCTCATGCCATTTCCTGACCTAGAAAGCCTGGCCCAGTTGAAAGAGAATGGTCTCCACCCCCTTGTGACCTCTGGTGGCACTTAGTATCTCTGTGGCTAGTTTGGGCCATTCAATGTATTCTCTTAAATGCCCACCGAAATTCCTTACGGTTCCTTAAAGGAAGGCCACCTATTACACACTTTATCTCCCCGCTGGATTGTAAACACAACAACCAAGTTGACACATTTCCAAGAAGACTTTCCAACAATTTTAGAGTACATTAAGAATTAAAAATGCTGGGGCGCCTGGGTGGCGCAGTCGGTTAAGCGTCCGACTTCAGCCAGGTCACGATCT